TCCGTTATTTCATGTCTGCGTCCCCAGTCCAAAGCGCTGTAGGGACGTCACGAAGGAGCTGAGTACTGGTTAGCTTAGAAGAACGGGAGGAGTTTCGGGAACTGGCACTATAGGGCGACAATATGACGGGTGTACAGCTCAAATCTCAAATTCGCGATGAGTACTGGTTAGTTATCCCGTCGCCCATGGGGCGAGATCTTTGAACTTGTTCGCGGAATACGGTGGCGGGCGGGGAACGAGAAATGTCGCGGACATTTCGGGTTTTGCACTTTCGCTAGTAATTTTGTTCCAGAATGACCTTTGAAATCTAGATTTCGACAAAACTGTCCACATTTCAAAATCTTATGAGATTGTTTCAGCCACGTGGTCTGCAGCACCGGCAGCTCGCCGCTCGTCCGCTGGCGTTTGCATTGCGGTGCTCGCGGCAATTCTGATGTTTGCACTTGGTGTTATACTTGGCGGATTTCTGCATGCCGTGGCATTTCCCAACGCTAATTCACCATTGGTATGTATTTTTTCTATTAATAAAGGAAGTAGGTGACATTTGAAGCGTGACGGAGTGATCTGGAATGGGCATGAGGTTTGCCTAAGGGCCAATGATGATGAAGTTCTCACAAGGTTAGCTAAGAGTCCTTCATTGACTGGCTACCCGTAGCGCCCTTCATTTCAGAATGACTTTTACTATAAAGATGTTGTCCCGTCCAGAATTAGTTTTCTGAATGATACTTTTACAGCTGGCCTTGGTTACGGATTCTACCGGATTCATTGAATGACGATTCGAATTTTTTAAGAATTCCCAAAAGTTTTTCTGACGAAACGCGGAATTTCTCAGACTCACCTCTTCACTAGAATCACAGTTATTTGACTAGAATGCATAAAATCCTTTTTAGGTAATTATCAAGATTATTGAGGAGCTTTAAACAATGACCTTCCAAGGAAAACTTTGAAGCTGGTCGGCTTTGCAGGTTAAGCTCTTTGAACTAACGACATCTTCGATAGGCGAGGTGTTGCATTGTCATGGTCAGAAACGGTCTATAATGGGGCAATAAGGCTCAACAGCAGGTTTCTCCGCCCCTCAGGGGTTCTTCCTCCCCCCTCCTCTCCACTCCATCGCAAACTCGGCACTTGCCCTCGGTCATAGGTGGAGAAGTATAAAATCGTCTCTATTAAGACAAAAAGGAAGTCTGGATCTTCAGAAAACGCTAGGGCTTATTCGGGGCCCATCCTAACTACGAATATTTAGCCAAAAGTGATTCATAAGCAGGAGTCAGTTACCTGTGTCCAACAACAGAACCTTAGACGATCGGGTTTTTAAAGAACTGTATTGAATTGCGTAAGAACGATCAGTGATTAGTGCTTATGACCTTTTCATAGCGATCGCCTCCCTATTACGAAGTACATCAGTACTTCGAGCGATCGGTTACACTGATAACATGCATGGCCAATGGTCAAATCCCTAACCTGTCCATGCCAGCGAGCTTCCCATCCCCTAGGTACGGTTTAATTGATAATAGGCTTGTATGGGCGACCAAAGCCCTACTTTTTATATCATTTAGACTCTGCAATGTACTTTATAAAAAAACAATTATGCATTCAAACGCCAGTACTCTTCAGTGAGCATTACTGTGAAACGGGAATGTTTCCATAAACAGCACTGACAAATTACATGGAAACGTTGTTGCTTTATCTCAATTTTTCACAATCTGCCTTATTCCAGAGGCTCTATGATTTTCATTTGTAGACTTTAGCTTGACCAAATATTTTCCTCTGCTTTTATTGGCTTCGTGGCGAAAATTCTGAAGAAAAGCTAAAAAAAATCAGAAAACTGTAGGAAAAATCGCAGCATTTCAAATTGTACTAGTGGATTTGCCCTGCTGTACTTACTGATTTCTTGAATCAAGAACGAGATCTCGCTTGGGCCTCCTGGTTGTTAAGATTGTCTTCATTTAGTTCGCTTTTTCTAATCTACCGCAATTAGTAAAGAGTGTTCAGCTTCTTTTGTATCAATTGATGGTAACCCCTGCGGCGAAACTGTTGTTCTCCATGGCTCAGGGGTCAGGTGGGAGGGAATAGGGAGGAAGGCGGGATGGGTAAGGTTTTTGTACCAGACTTTTCTTGGCTTTTTTCCGGTATTCCGGCAACATATACACTTCTTTAGACGGTAAGTCAGTGGGCAATGGTGTCCAGATTGGTGCACACAAATTAAAAAAGGGTTCATTTGTTAACGATAGCCAGCTATTAAAAGCTATCGACCTTCAGATAGCTCCCAACCAGCAGCTGTAAGTGCGAAAAGCCAATCTAGATCAAAGATGGATCTAACGCAGAACTGCCTGTCGGAGACAGGGGGCCCAAAGGAACTATGAAAACAACTTTCTTTTCTCATCGAAAACACCGTTCCCAGTGCAGAAAACTCGTGCTGCTTCGTAGAAAAGCCGCACTTATAAGTAAGTGAAAAAATGAATGATTTTTGAAAAAAATACGCTGGATCATGTGTTCACTGAGGTATCCTGTAGCCATGTTATCCTGGAAAAGCTCGACCGATGCATTCACATGACAGAATTATACTATAATTTTGTAGATCAAAGCTCCAATTCCCTAAATTCTGAAAACAAATGGTTGAAAAACTGAGGATTAAGTTACTTTAGGCTCTGGGAAACTGGTCATTTGAAAGCAGTGCAGAAGTGGCAATATTCGACAACTCAACAACAAGCAGTCATACGGAAGCTGTTAAACATGCTAACAATCCATCCGAATCCAATCAAGAAGAAACTGAAGTGGAGCTGACGACAGACGCCATTTATGAAGACGAAGGTCCTGACGATGCCGATTGCAGGGATTTCCCATACAAGAACTTCAGGTAACGTTAAAATTAGGGGTAGAAGGGAGGTTGTGCGACACAAGGCCTTATACAGAATGCGACTTAGAGTGTCGGATATTAATCCTAAGCAAGCTGTGAAGCTTCTAAATAAATCAGGAGAAAGGGGTGTTCATGTTTTACCTTCTATAACGAGAAGGGAGAGAAAAGGGCATGCCAACCCCAGTGAACACTTGAATTATCACTATGTAGGTGATGTGCCTTTCAGCCTCTGCGCTAGGGATCCTTCTACCGTAGTAGCTTCCTCCAGGTGGTTCTACAGTTTTTGACAATGGATCCGAACCCGGTCGGACAAAAGAAGGTCGAGCTGCTCGCAGAGGGCTCAAATCAGATAACGTTCACCGATTTACTGACCGACTTTACTTTCACTGTGGAATTCTGAAAGCGCATGTAGGCAACTCTTCGCTGTTTGAAAAAGCGATTATCAAGATAACTTACTTCGAATGCTTTAATTTTTAATTCTAATCTTTTGAAATTCAAGGGTGTGTCATTTCTGGTCGATAAGTTCATGAGTTCTTTAATCAATCTTAAGCAAAGGCAATCAAATCAAGAAATGGCGGCGAAGCGGGTCAAATTAACCTTATGTCGAAACCCAGTAATACGTAGGGAGAGAAGGAAAGGGAGAGGGGGAAGGGGAACATGAAAACAGTCAGAAAGAAGTGCGTTCAAATGGCATTGTACTTGTAGGATCAGTTCCCACCGAGTCTATCCATCTCTTAATCCGCCTGAACCATGCGAGGACCAGACTGTGTGGGGGAGAAAATACAAAGACATAAAATTGGTTTGGGCCACAGGGCTTTTTGTATAGGCTACATAGGGCATGTAGACCTTCTGAGCGGAGCGAATTGTATTCTTATATACTGATCTTATTTTTGCTTCGACTAATTTTTGACAAAATAGAGAAACATACGGAAATTTTTCGATCCATTCCCATTCGGGAAAGATTTATTTATTTATTTATTTATTTATTTATTTATTTATATGGTGCACGCTTAGGTGCTGGGAATAGTGCTAATTATGATAACATACTTTCAAGGTTACCACGAGACGTCGTACCAACTTCTTACAATTTGACTATCCATCCGAATATCACAACAAACAACATGACCGGAAGTTTGGCAATCGATATTCAGGTAACTAATTGAACTTCAAGTTCCATCTAAGGAAATGCCTATCGATGTATCTCAGAGCTAACAAATTCCAAGCTTTTTTGTATTTTGTTGCTCAATTCATTTTTTTAATCGGCACAAGCTGTGCAACCCGGAATCTGTCGGTCTCCCAACTAATCAAGAATCTTCTGAATTTTTTTTTTCACTCTAGCAGAAGCCGTGCTAGGCTGATGATACCCATTTTATATGCTACTGAATTAGAATTGTTGAATTGAATTGACTTTTGTCAGAATTTTGAATTTTTGAGCCTTTCTTGAGTATGGGTCTTCTACTTGAAGTAGGATGGCGACCGGTGAGTATATAACCTTTTGCCCAAACATAAGGCTAGCCTATCAGGGGTCCGGCAACCTCTCCCTAAAGTCGGCGTCGCGCACGCCGCACCCGCCGCGTATCGCAGGATTGCGGTGGAAGATTGGAGCGCGCAATTTGTTTGGTAGGGAGTCCTTTAATTATTTGAATTGGCTTACCGCTTTCTTTAATTTCAATGCAGTCGTGATCGTCGCTTACATAGGAGGAGTCATTTTAATTAATCAAGTCTAATAGACATGAAAACGAAAAAGAAACAGAAGAAAAACGGTCNCAAATCCAATAAAAAAGCAAGGCAATCAACGAATAATATCGCGTCTTATCGATTGGCGGGGAGGCGGGGTGAGTACGGTAATTGCTGACATTTGCCGCATGCCGCAAGGGAGAATGCAGCGATCGGGGAGAAGTTCCGTTACCCGCCTATCAGGCAAATTCGTTTGGACAGAGATGCTATTTGATTCTTTTACTGGGTAACCCCTGTTCTAGAAGGGAGTCTGCTATGCGGCCTGTCCGAAATAAATGAAGTACCCCCTGAAAATCGCTTTTATGCACTCAGTTGTTTACTCATTTTGTTTTGAGTTTGTTAAGACAAATTGGAGTCTTCGTCAGTCCTTCATTTTTGACGTCTCCACGTCCTTTTCTCTTTCTTTCCCAAGTTTTTCAGATATTGTAGAAATGATTTTCAGGTACTGAACACAACCAAGCTGATAGTACTGCATGCCGACAACCTTATCATGACCACATTCAGTATGAGTGTCAACGCAAGACGGATGGAAGCTGAATTCGTAAGTGAACACCAAACTTCCTGGAGAAAAAATAGAAAGCCAGGAGAAGGGGATTTTTGAACGAAATAGGGTTTTGTAAAGTGCATAGATGTGTGAAAAGACAGCGGAAGAAGCTTTTCTTTTGGATAGTCAGAGCAAATCCCGTTGGTTGTGGGTTATGGGACTCCCTTTTCAATTCCATATTTTTATAATCAACAAAAATAGGAGATGGTCAATTCCGTTTTGAATCAAGCTGTGTAAGTGTCCTGTTTAGCAGCGACACCAACACATTGAGGTAGGCGGGCTAGCTCCAACTGAGTAGAAGGTAGGGGCGCAACTAGACGACAGCGGGTATTGAATCATTCCCCCTATCGTAAGTGGCAGCTTTCAGATCTTACCCGTTCAGTCTGAAACAACTTCACAAGGATTGAGTCACCATCTATTCCTGCATTCTAATGAATAATGAAAAAACATAAAGTATCGGTTTGAATAATTGAATTCGAGTTGAGTTTTTTTACTATTACAGTTCTTCTGTCCGGCATCGTCTCAATGGGCATTTATGATGGACGAAGAGGTGCACGCTGGTGATTTCATCGACTTGGGCATTGAATTTCAGGGAGAAGTGCTGCCAGATCTACAAGGACTCTACATATCAACACATACTGATTCACGGGGGAGAAAGACGTAAGACCGTAAGCCCTCTAAGATTGAAACAAAATTTTGGAGTGTCAAACCAAATAAAAAGAATCACCCATCAAAAAAAAACCTGCTGGACTCTTCTCCCGATCCTAACTCACCGACGCTCGAAGTATTTTTCAAAAATATCTATCCTGAACTTTCTCTATCGAAGCATCTTTACCAGATATGGGTTCGGTGCTATTGCTAGTTTAACTCCTGAAGACCAGAAAACATGACGGTGGTCAAGGACGATGGGTGAGAAAAGAAATTGAGAGCGTATTTCTTCAGGAAGTCAGCTGTGACGCAGTTTGAACCATCGTATGCACGAAAAATGTTCCCTTGCTTCGATGAGCCCAATTTCAAAGCTACCTTTGAGGTAGGTTCTCCCTTTCTGAGTTGCCTTTGATTTTTTTTTTCAAATTAACTGCCCTTATAGTAATTTATTCATTCACATGCACCGCGTAGTTGAAATCCCTTCGGGGTTCAAAAGGTAGTTTACTGTGTGTTTCTTCCCCATGTGGGGATCTGAAAGTGGTGAACGCTTTGAAGAAGGGTGTAGGGGTAGGAAAAGAATGGGGCGCAAAGGAGAAAGGAGGGTGCAGCGCAAATTTCACCAACGGTAGCCACTTTGAGAAGCTTTTCTCGCTATGAATTTAGGTCAGGTGCATCTTTTTCGTCCCTCTAAGGGCCTGAGGGATTTTGGAGGCGGAACGAGGTTATCATGGTGCTGGTGAACGTTTTGTTAGGTACAGTCCCATAGTGTACTTCGCCAAAAGGAGTGCTGACTCAACTTCTACAGTTCTTGCAATCCCAACATTCGTGAAAAAATCGCTCACCAAGTTAGATAGTGAGCATTGTATCGCCTTATCGATGTTTCAAATATGTGGCTACAGAATATTTAGCGAGAAGCCTTTATTATTCAAAATTTATCACCAAAATTCCGCTATGATTTGGTCTTCTTGGTAAAGCCTTGCTCTGCTTTGTGGTCAGGCTGTGGCCTTGTGGTCATGACCATCTGCTGAGAACAATAATCAGTGATAGCGTCTATTTTTCGAAAATGTTGAGCCTACCTTTGTTTTTCAAGTCCTCTCTGAAATCCATCTGAGCGTTTTCTCGCTTTGCTCCACCTTGTCCACCTGGCAAGTCGAATCCACTTTGGCTACCCAATGGGCCAGCCGGTCCGAAAGGCCCACCTCTTACTTCCAGTTCACCTAGGGCATCGCATTCAGGTGCTCCACCTTGAGGGCCTGAATTATCATTCTCATAGGCCTTAACCAGAAGGCAGAAAAAAGTTAAGTGGAATTTATGATCAAAATTTACCTGGAATAGGAATAGGGTAGCCTCCTTGTGGTATTGGACCGGGGTTGACTCCTTGTGGTCCGACAGGAATAGGGTTACCTCCTGGTGGTATTGGACCAGGGTAGACTGGTTGTGGTATTGGACCAGGAAAACCTCCTTGTGATCCGGGCATGGGGTTGCCACATTGTTGTCCTAAACCAGGGTAGCCTCCTGGTAGTCCGAAACCTGGATAGCCCCCTTGTGGTCCAAAACCAGGGTAGCCTCCTTGTGGTCCGAAACCAGGATAGCCTCCTTGTGGTCCGAAACCAGGGTAGCCTCCTTGTGGTCCGAAACCAGGATAGCCTCCGTATTTATCATAACCGTCGCATTTTTCGTTACCATAATATAATTTCTGTGATATACGTCCGGTAGTACACAGCACCAACCCGAGGAAAGCAGTGAAAGCGTACATGGCCGCCATGCTGAAATAGCTGAACATTTCTTGGAACATCACCCAGAGGTTGAGGAAGCTCAAAGAAAGGATGTGGGGCAAGGAAAGGGTTGTACGAAGATCGCATCGTGAGTTCCTAGAAGGGAGACTTATTGGGCCACCAAGTGAAGGATGGAGGTGGGGAATGTGTCTCCCGGGACTACTTGGTCGTGATATTACAAAAGGACTGTAGAAATCTGTGTTGGGCCGTTTGCTCTTCTCCTTTTATACGCATTATTGTTGTGATTTATTGATTTACCTGTCCCATAATTTAATATTGTATCAGGTATAGAAATAAGATTACTGTAAGTCGTACAGTGCAAAACTTTTCTTAGAAGGCTGGCAAACTTTATTTACCAAGCCATCTTTTTTGATCGTCTAGGAAACCTCAATGGCGATGAAAGCTCCCCATTAAATGGTATAAGCCGTTACATTTGCTATTATTCATAATGGCTATAGGGTTTTCAAGTTTTCTAATTTAAATATTTGCTATTTTTGAAAAGCCGGAGGCGTTTTATGGGAACAATCTTTTCGCTGGCCTTCAAAGTGGCCATTAGGATAATGTGAATGATTCTTGTACGTTTCTGTAGGCTTGGACTATATGTGAATAGGTGCCGAACGAGGCGTTCTGGGTATGTGGACGAGTTGTTCCCACTTGTCCGAGAAGTTGTTCTTACTATTGTCTGATGATGACTATTTACTCTTGCTTCCCAAGTTCTTCCTGGTTTTCAGCCCCGCAGAAAAAAGAAAGAAAGACGATTTTTAGCTGTGGGTTTATATCTCAAATACCATACTATCATTACTTGCCACTCTGGAAACCGTCCAAAATCTCCAATTAAAAATTACTTCGGCGTGATAATGGGGTATGACATTTTGGAGATTTTAAAATGAAGATTTTGTTTTCGAACTTTTCTTAGCTTTTTCGTCGAATTTCTTTTCCTGGCTTTTTTAGGACTTTCCTTCCAAAATTATTCGATTCTCCACAAATAAGCCACTTTTATATAACATATTCAGAGTGATTATTTTCCTACGAGTTGGTCATTCTATCAGAAAACCATTCCTATTTATTTATTTATTCCTATTTACGATTTGTAAATTGCAGATGATGTGATCTGTTAAGGTGTCTGTTATCCGAGAACCGCATCATGTCGTTCGTTCCAATATGAAGATGAAATTGTCCGAGGAACATGTAGACGGGTTTGTTGGTCCTTGTTTTTGTTTCATTATTATAGCAATAACAATAATAGTAATAAGTATTATAATGGAGGGATGTGATGTAATGACAAGTGGCGCACTATCACACACGTATGGCCACGGGTTCGAATCATCCCGCATTGATATGCGTCTAGGCCTATCAAACCTTGCATCCCTCGATGTCGGTTAATTGGTACCAAACTCATCTGGGAAAATAAAAACACTGTCTTGTACATTGGCTTGTCGCAAAAACTTTGTATAGGCCACCTACCCATTACGATTCTAAGTGGAGGTTGAGTGCGTGGCGCGTTCAAGAGCGGGATCGACCTACGCTATAAAAACTTCATACCTTCATCCTTTTGTAAATATGCATGGATCGCTAAACGTTCAAAATTATGTTTATGTCTATAATAAAAATAACTGTGAAATATCAATGCACTTGAATAGGGAGAATAGGATCCGGAATAAATAAAAACAAATAAGACAACCTGAATGAAATGCCTGTTCCGGTTGATTCGAAAATTTTCAGCCTTTACATTGATGTATTCCATCGAACCGTCAAGATGAGCACATATCTACTGGCGGTAGCGATTCTCGATAACTACGACTATGTGAAGAGAACAACGAAGAGTACAAAGGCGCCTATTGAGGTTGTTTACTTTGAAATTTCTAGCATTTCCGTGAAAAATACTCAATTACAATAGGGTAACTAGTAATTAAGTCTAAAAGTCTAATTCACTATAATAATTACCGATATTAAATAGGCTCAAGCATAGGCTGTTTCTGGCGGAACCAATCTAAGTTTCGTAGAGACTGCAATCCTTTACGATCAGTTGTAGGTAGGCTTCAGAGTCAGTTGTGAGGTTAATTTAAACCAAACACTGAAAATTCACTCTAAAATTCTACGGAAGAGCCAAATTTATACTCGATAACCTCCGCATTCCTAAGATTTCTAATAGTCGTAGCACCAAACGCTGGAAAAACTTCCCGAAGCTACGTCATTCATCCATTCTGGGTACTTGACACTTAGAAAGGAGTGAACTGATAGGTAGATTTCTGCATTTCTTGGTGGTGGATTTTATACAGTCATACATAGTCTCCAAAACTGCTTTCTGAAGGAAAAACTAGTTCATAAAAACCTTTTTTAGGTTCGATTATATGCTCCAAAGGATGTGATTAAAGGCCAAGCGGAATTCGGTCTCGACACTGCCATACGCTCATTAGAATTCTTTGAAAATTACTTTGATATACCGTATCCGTTAGATAAAATTGGTAGGTTCCTTAATGAAAGATTTGCTGAATCTCACCATACCTCTTTATGTGGCAGCGCACTAAGGAAGTGTTAATGGTTGTAGATGATGATACAGTGGTAAAAGAAGGTTTTTCAGATCTCTTGGCTCTTGACGACTTCAGTGAAGGTGCGATGGAAAATTGGGGATTGATAACATTCCGTGATTCAACGCTTCTACATGCTGAAGGTATTGCTAGTGCACTGGCAAAAGAGCAAATCGCACTCGTCATTTGTCATGAAATCGCTCATCAGGTAGGTAACCTTTCAACCTCTTTGCCATCAGATCAGTGGTCCTGAAGTCGTTCTCGGCTTCGGGTCACTTGCCTCAATTGGAGAGTTCGGGAATTAGGACTCCAAGTTGAGAGTGCTCTAGTCCACACTGCTTCCTCCTCTCCTCAACGGCTACATGCTTTGATGTTGAACAACGGTTCATGAACAGCCTTCATAGGATTGAGTCGTACTATCTGACGTGCCGTACAGTCTATCTACAGAGCCCTAGAAAAGCAAGTGTTTTGATGCCTACTTCCGATGTTTCGTGACCGAAAGTGGTAGTGGCCAAACGACGCACTATGTATTTCATTCAAGATCCAGGGATCGAACCCGGATCAGTGCTTGCTTGAGTAAAGAAAGTCTTTTTTATCTCCGTGGTCGGTGGCTGACCATCTCAAGTCATTTTGTTCGGACGCTACTATATTTCTGAATGAAAGTAGAAAACGCATTCCACAAAAAGTTGTTTGCGATTGTCATTGGTGCCGTCATGAATTCCCACCCGGTATCAATGAAACTTTTCAGTGGTTTGGCAATCTTGTGACAATGAATTGGTGGAACGATTTATGGTTGAATGAAGGCTTTGCAAACTACATGGAATATCGATGTGTGGACAAATTGTTCCCCGATTGGAACATCGTAAGTGGGCATAAATGGCCTACTCAGCATTAACCACAACAATTTTCAAACTTATTATATCTAATCCACATGGAGTCAGAGGAAACTCGATAAAACAGCACAGAGTTATCTGTTATCATACATAAATATATGAACTAAGATCGTATTCTGATCTAACCCACACCAAGTTACCATTTCTGTCTTTCTTAACTCGCGTAGTCGATACCATACTTGTCTGGTGGGACAGGGGACTAGTGCCCAGGGCTGCTACTACAAGTATGATATGGGAATTGAATCCGTTTCATGTATCTTGGTTAAACCGGGCTATGTAACCATCAGGCTTCCTAGTTGCTCGTGTGAAATTGAGAATAGGCTTGTTCGGGAGGATCGGTACTCATAGTTGTGCCTCTGCTGTCACCTGCTGGCCCTGAAAATCATGATAGGAGTCAAATATGCGTCCGAAAACTGCCGAGGTTTCTAATAGAAATCGATTGTGCAGGCGGATTCTGGTATTAATCAATACCAGAAACTCGTCCACGTGTATTACTTTATATTTAGAAAATGACGTAATCATAACTGCTCGGTTGCACTTTTGTTTTTGAGTGAATTGAGGGACTAGCTCATCTGCTGGCCAACTATAGGGCCTATTAACAACCTAACAGCGACCCTTGTGAGACGGCTTGATTCCTGGATCACGCTTCCTGTTCATCCTGCGCTCAGCAATTCATATTAGTCAGTAATAAATAATATATCTATTGATATTGGTACTATTNTATTTATTGCTAATTTTGCAATTCCATAAATGTCTGGTACGCCGCGGAAGTAGAAGTATTCAATGGTAACCAGTTTTCTATTTTCATCGCCATCCACATTTTCAGATGACTCGATTCTATGTGGAAAACGTAGCCTTCAGTCAAGAACCAGATGGTCTACGTAGCTCTCGAGCTGTTTCCACTCATACCTCGAATGAAACGAATATTATGGGACTATTCGATGCCATCAGTTATCACAAGGTATCTTCAAAGGGTCTCCGAGCCGTCTAGTTCCGTTCTTTGGAAATCTCAACGTTTTCTAGGCTGCTGCCATCATCCGAATGTTACAATCGCTATCTGGTGAGCGGAATTTCCAACGATCTCTTATACAGTATCTCAATAAGTATGCGTATGGTAATGCTAAAGGCTCACAATTGTGGAAAATCGTCGAGAAGGTTAGCTCATTCTCCTTTACGTGTTTCCGTACCTGCAGTCGTTCGCAATAGTTTCAGCACGCTGTTCTCCCTCATGGAGTTTCTATCGCCAGTTTGGCAACGGCATACATAACTCAAGTGGGATGCCCAATGATATATGTGACCCTTTCCAACAACGAAATTATCATTCATAATCAGGTAATTCCTTTTTTTTTGAGAAAATGTGCCAATCAGAAGAGGTAAACCTTCATGACAAGCCAGCCAATAAAGAACGATTGTATCGGACTCCCTGCGAATTACGGTTGGAGGTCAGGTGGCCTGGGTCCAGAAGGGCAAGGGGGCGCTATAATGGCTGCCTTGCCGGGATCAGGTCATCACTAGCACAGGAGCAGATGTGAGTTCAGTGACACGACCGTGTTGTGCTTCTGTCATCCCAGACAGGTATGGCATGACACCTTTTTCACCTGAAACACTTGATAGTTCTACAAAATCGGCCCGGAATTCAATATCGCGACCTTGCATGCGCCCAGTAGCCTCAGTCAAGGGTACCCTGACTCTGTTGGTAACTATTAAGTACCAGGATTGTGTAGTTATGAAAGAATCTTTACAAGCTCAAAGTTTGTTCGAAAAAAGTTAAATGCAGCCAATTTCAATGAAAAGATGAGCTGCTGACTATTGCTTTTCGTAGACTCGGCATTTCTTCGAAGACGGCATGGACGACGACACGGAATGGCCGATTCCAGTTCATTACCGTACTGATTCTCAACGTGAACCTAAACTACACTGGATGAATGTCGACCACAACAAAGGTGAGTTGAATGAAGGCATTAATTTTTTCGGAATAGATACATATATCAACGCTATAGTAATTAACAAAAAAATTAAAATAATTGGTTGTTAATTACAACACAAAATTTAAAAATTAGTGGAAATTTCAGGGAAGTGAAATAACAAAGCAGTAAATAAATAATGAGTAGTAACTAACAATTATGAAAACAATGAATAGAATCTATTCTAAAAATCAAATCATTTTCTTTCAATGTGACTTTAGCTGAACTTAATCCAGACTTTCAGTCGCCTGGCCTTTGGTCGAACACTCCAAATGGGTAATTGCAAATACTGGTGGATTCAGTTATGTGAAAGTGCTCTATGATAAAAAGAACTATGCGGCACTTGCAAAACAACTGCGCACCAATCACAGGGCGAGTTTCTCTTACTAGTTTCTACAGTATTGCTGTGCTGCGAGATGACTCCATTATTTCCTTCGCTGTTCACTTTCCCTTTTCTTAGTTGTAGACATTCTAACGACCACTTTTTTACCTCATTTTTGAAGGCGTCAGTCTTTTCAGGCTATATCGTCGATTGATCGCTCGATGATCCTCAACGATGCATTTGATTTCGCCAAAACATCAAAATTGGATATCGGAGTCTATCTGGATCTACTGCTCTATGCAGAAGGTCTGTGCATACTTTTCTGTTCTTTCTTCCTCAAAACCCCTTGAAATAGAATTCAGAGGAAATGGACCGTCTTCCATGGACACTGATCAGCAAACAAGTACAGTATATTGAAGATCTCATTGAGGATACATCTTTTGGTCACATTTTCAAGGTAATTTACTGTACTGAGTCTTGAAGTTCTGGCAAATGATTACCCAAGATAACGGTCTCAAAAGAAGAACGAATTAATTCTCGCCAGGTATCTTGCATTGTCCCCTGCCAAACAAGTAACTTCCTGCAGGAATCGTAGTTTCATTGCGCGAATCTGCTTAAAGGCACCGTTTACGATAAATTTAGGGTACCCTTTTTTGAAGGGAATTCATAGAACTGCTCTAGAATAAAGCGATAAC